CCGGGCTCGTTTGTTCTCGTCGAGAGCGCTCGCGCGCTCTTCGCGCCGTCGCCCGTCCGCGCGTTTATTTTGTCCACCTCCTCTCGTACGATCCCCATTTTCGCCGAACGTTTGGCCTCAGCGCGGGATTTCTTCGCCATCGCGCTCAATGACGCGTTCTCCGCTTCCTCCTTCATCGCTCGTGTCTTCGGACGTCCTCGCTCGTTTTCGTCGACGTCTCCATTCTCGCCGCCGTCGCGCGTCTTGAATCGCGTCTGACTCTTCTGTCGTCGTCTCGTCTGCACCATCGCCACCGCGCTGTTTTCATCGTCTCCATCGTGTCGCATGCTCGCCCACGGATCGGCGTCGTGCGCGAACGGCATGGTCGATGGATGACGGATCGATCGACGACGACGCGTCGATTCGTCTCAACGATTAGCGTGAAGTCGATGCGACGACGCGGTCGACGACGGTGTCGTGACGACGCGCGATGGCGTGCGAACGACGCCGTTCGTGCCGATGCGTCGATCGCGCTCGAGTCGCGTCGCGTCGACGACGGCGCGGCGACGTGTGCGGTGAACGCGTCGTCGTCTGGGACGCGAAACGTCTTTGGTTCCCCTCTCCCGATGGACGCGGCGGCTCCGCGGGCGGCGATGACTTTCTACGTGCTACAATGTCTCGCGTGAGCGCTGCTATGTGACCTACTAATGAACGATGCGTGCGAAAAATATGGACTCACACCTCGGATACGCCCCCGTTCGAGCCAGACTCGCGCGGTGGCGTCTTTCTCGCCTGCGCGCGGGCGGCTCGGGCGGCGCGCTTGGCGGCGCGCTTGACGCGACGACGCTTAATCTTCTTCGTCAACGCCTCGAGATCCTCCATGTCGTTGTGTATAAACTCTTCCAACGTCTCCTCCTTGGCCGTTTTAGCGATCTGTTGCTCGATCGGGTTGGGTATCAGGCCAAAGTTCCGATTCCTTAACAACTCGCGGAACGGCGCGTTTGGGCGAACCATGCGCGACCAGTTAAACCTGTCGCTGATTTCGCTCCCCGCGCCGTTACACACCCGGCACAACACCGACCCTTTGGACTGACAAAACATGCACGGAAACGTCTCCTCCTGTCCGCTCCCGATGTCCGAGAAGTCACCTCGCTGCGTCGGTTTTTCCAACTTTCCTCGTCCTCGACAGTGTTCGCACGTCAACCTCGACGCCCCTCCGCATCTCGCGCAGTTTTGTCGCATCCAGTGCCCGTACGCCTCGCGCGCGGTCGCGACGACGGTACCGATGAAACATATCTGCGACGCCACGCCCAGGATGCCCTTAATATCGTCCTCGGCCCCCATGGACGACGCGCGCGAGTGCGGGAAAGGGCGCGATGCCCTAGGGCGAGGGCCTCGGGAAGGGTCCGCGTCACACGCGCGTACACACGTCTCGCGCGCGACGCACGCGGGAGTGGTCGACGGGTGGAGACGCCGCGCATGAGCGCGTACAGACGCCCGTTCTCCAGGAACGCGCTCGCGTCCGATGGCGCCAGCGCGTCGGCGTCGTCGAGGAAGAAACAAATGTCGCTACCGAGCGAATTGTGCGTGAAGATTCACACCGACAAGGTGGACGTGGGGTGTCTCAAGCCGTGGATCAACGACAGGATCACTGAACTCCTCGGCGTCGAGGACGAAGTTTTGATCGACATGATCTCGGTGATGTTGGAGGAGTCCGCGGTGCACAAGGACGGGGGGCACATGCTGAGGCAACTGGAAAGTTTTCTAGACGTCAACGCGCTTACGTTCGTCGTCGAGCTCTGGACGCACCTGGCGAGCGCGCAGGAGAACGCGAAGACGTCCGAGACGGGTAAAGGGGTGCCATCGAAATTTTTACGCGACGTAGAGGCGGAGCGCGCGCGAGCGGACGCGGCGTACGAGCGCATGCGAAGCAATCGGGAGCGTTACGAGCAACGCGGTCGCGCGCCGAAGCCGTACGACAAGCCGAGAGGGCGCGACGGGCGAGGACCGAGGCACGATTCGCGTGAACCGCGTCGTCGATCGAGATGGGAAGGGGAGCGGAACGGCGTGTCAGGGGCCGATGCAAAGTAGATCGCGTGTATTTGTACGGTATCAATAGGTTTGTTTCAATCACGCCGCGACGGACGCCGTCTTTGGCCACTTTTCGTGAATCCAACTCTTGAACTTGGCGCACGCCTTCAAGAATCCGCCCTCGGCTTGAGAATCGGCGATGACGGTGTCGCCATCGACGAAGAGCATTCGCATGTCCAAATCTACGTCGCTCGCCGTCTGCGCCTCGGCGAGGGACTTTTCGTACGCCTCGCGCTCAGACTTGACGAGATCGTCCACGTCTTCGCCGAGCTCCTTGACCCAAGCGTCGTGGGACAGCGGTTTGCCCGTGAGATTGTTCACGAGACCCAAGAAACCAGGCTTTCCACTGCCCGCGCGCCAGTACTCGCTCTCGAGCTTAGGACCGACCGCGGGGTTGTCGACGATGTATCCCTCCGTGTTGAAGAAGTATTCGCGCGTTTGATGCACCGCCATTTCCGCGAAGACGTAGCCGTGATAGTACGCGCTCGATTCGTCGGCGAGAATGTGCGGAACGCTCATGAGCGGTCTGCCACTGAAACCCCCTTGAATCTTCTCCTCAATCTCGTCGGCGATTCGGCAGATGTTCTCCGTCGTGAGTTGATCCTCCGGAAGCTCGTAGAGCGCCTTTTCAAAGTACGGCACCGCGAGCATGCCGCGAAGCGCGAAAACCTTATACGGGTGTTTCTCCCGAATGTTGCGCTCGATCAAATCCCAAGGAATGACATTTCCGTTGCGATCCTTGGCGTAACGAGCCTGCCATGCGGCGTCCTCGCACAAAGCGTCCAAAAACATTGACTGCGTCTCCGCCAGGGCGACGCTGAAAGGGGCGCGCTCTTGAGCAAACACGGGAGATCCTTGCACGATGTTCGCGAAGTGCGCGGCGTGTCCGCCCTCGTGCATGAGCGTCGTCAGCGCGGTGTTACCACTACCGACTTCATCCGGAGTCGCGAGTGAGGTGAAGTTGGATTCAGACGGCACCCACGAGCCGTCACCCTTTACGAACGGAGGCGTCGGCCAGTGGCAGAAGCCATTTGGATACTTCCCGACCCGATCGCAGAGATCCAGACGCATCGTCGTGCCCTTGTACGCGATATTCATCGAAGCGAACGATCGACCCCAAACCTCGGGGGCGTTTTCAAACGGATAGTACGGATCGATCAATTGCGTGAGCTCGCCGCTGAGGTAGTACGCCGTGTTCCAACCCTTGGTCGCGGCCTCTCCCTTTTCGCGCTTCAATCGCTCGCGCGCGGCGTGCATGATCGGCCGCGTCGCCTCTTCCAATCCGTCGAGCATTTCGAAGCACTTCTTCTTGTTGAAGCCTTCGGCTTGCGTGACCTTCATGTCGTAAAAGTCTTCAAAGCCGAGCGCTCTCGCGAATTTGTTACGCTCGGCGATGATGGCGGGGAAACCGTTATCGCACAATAATGGACCGTTCGCGCGAAGCGTTTCCCAGCAGCTCTTACGAACGGCTTCCTCATCGCTGCTGCGAATCTTCGTGCGCAAAACGGTCGGCGTGGCCTTGACAAAGTTTCCACTCGCGTCCGTGTATCCGAGCTCTCGCTTATTCCGGGCGCTCTGCAACGCGTTCTCCTTCGCGATCGCGCTCTCACGAAGTCGCACCGCCTCGTCCGATTCCACGATGTAGCACTTCAGTGTCTTTTCGATTTGTTCGAGCACGACTCGATCGGACGCCTCGACGTCGCTTCGAGCCAAAAACTCTCGCGTCTTTTCCAACAGCCCGGCGTCGCCCATGAACTTCTCCAGCGCGTTGAAAGACGTCGTCAGCGCCTCCACGTCGTTCCCGCTCAGGTTCATCTTCGTCGCCCAAAAGTTATCCTCGTACGTCTTGTGCTTCGCCAAGTATTCCGCGTTGAAGCCATCGATGAAGGTCTTCGCGTTCGACGCGGTCGACGCATCCATCGTGATTGGCGACGATGACGAAAAAGCTTCGATCGCGACCGGACGACGACCGAGCGCGCCGGCACCGTTCACGCGCGCGCTCGTTCGCACCGCGCGTCGCCTCGCGAGCGTTCGCGCGCGCGCGCAATGTGATGCACGAATCACGCGCGCGAGCGCCATGAAGTGGAGGCGCCGTGACGTGCGTGACGTGACGTGACGTGACGCGAGAATGACGTCGACGCGCGGCGACGCAGAGAGCGACGCCGACGATGCCGCCGAAGACGCGCGAGGACGAAGACGAACGCATCCTTCGCGCGGCGTTACGTCGAGAGATGCTTCGAACGTTGCGACAGCGTGGATCGATGAAGACGTGCTGACCGAGCGAGATACCTCGTGGATTGTTACGAACGGTACGTGACGCCGAGGACGGTGACGCGATCGAAAGGGCGAGTGAATTGAAAGAGTTGGGATACGACCGAGCGTGGCGCTCGTTGATGCACCGCACGAGGGAGATCGCGTACGAGGAGTGGAGGCGAGGCGCGCTCGCGATTTCGCAGAAGGGCGTCGACGCGCGCGCGAGCGAACCGCCGCCGAGAGGACCGATCCGATTACGTCTACTGCACATGACGAAGATTGAAGCCGAGGACGAGAGGAAAGACGCGCGACCCTCGACGTCGTCCGCGTCGATTCGTCGGCTGAAGAAGGCGCCGCCGACGATCGAGTCGCGCGCGAAGCGTAAAGCGGGCGCCGAGAGCGGCGCCGCCAAGAAGAGAAAACAGTGACGGCGGCGAGGTAGCCGCGACGACGCGTCCCGTCGCGTCCTCGTCGTTCGATTCTTTTCTCGAGCGTTCATACATTTTCGTCGACGCGCGCGCGCTCGTTTCGATCGTGTGGTGCCGCTCGTCCGTCGGACGCGCCTCGCGTCCGTCTCGCCTCTGTGTTATCCAGATATCCACGTCAATCGTCGACGTCCCTCCTCGGTCCCGTTCGTCGTGCGCGAAACTTCGTCATGGCGTTCATCACGTCGGCGTCGATCACCACTCTCAAGAGTATTCGCTCGCCCAGACCGTCGTCGTCGTCGTCGTCGTCGTCGTCGTCGTTCGCGCGATCGCTCACACCTTCGTCCTCGTCGTCAACCTCTCGCGTGGTCACCGCTCGCGCGGAGTCCAAACTCAAGCCCGACTGGGCGGGGGACGACGTGTTGAGTAAGTTGGTCGACGCCGCGATCTCGAACGAGTTGTTGTACGAGAACGTGATGAAACCAATGGCGCGAAGGACGCTCATCAACACCGCGGAGAAGAACGGCATCGCGTGGAGAGAGGAGGCCAAGGCGTTGGAGGCGAATCCGGACATTCACGCCGCGTTCGAGTCAATCAAGGATGACTCGTTGAAGTATCCGGAGTATTATCTCAAGCCGTTTCACGCCTACGCCGAGGGAAATCTGTGCTGGCTCGCGGCCACCGAGGCGCGAAGCGCGACGTACTCGATGGCGCTCCGCGTCTGGCCAAAGGATCGAATCACGGCGGAGACGGCGCAACAACGCCTTCGTGATTCATACACGGATACGATTCGAAAGCATCGCGAGACACACAACGCGTCGACCGGGGAAGCGGAACCGAGGAAGATTCTCGACGTCGGTTGCTCCGTCGGGATGTCGACGCGATACATAAGCGACGCGTTCCCGAGCGCAGAGGTCATCGGGTTAGACCTTTCACCTTACATGCTCGCCGTGGCGTCCGTGAGCGATAAAGGAGAAGAAGGGAGTGAGAGACGAACGTGGGTGCACGGTAAGGGCGAGGATACCAAGTATCCGGAGAACACGTTTGATGTCGTGTCGCTCGCGTTTGTCATTCACGAGTGCCCGGAGAATGCGACGGCGGCGCTCATGCGAGAAGCGCATCGGATCTTGAAACCAGGTGGAACGTTCGTTATGACGGATAACAACCCTCAGAGTCCTGTGATTCAAAATCTACCCCCGGCACTCTTCACGCTGATGAAGTCCACGGAACCGCACTCAAACGAGTACTATACCATCGACGTTCAACAAATGCTGCGGGACGCGGGATTCGAGCACGTGCATCAAGAGCAAACTGATCCGCGTCACCGAACGGTGTGTGGGTCGAAGAAATAGCGCGGTCGTTGAGTCGGTTTGTGATATAAATGAATGCGTATCTAAACAATATCGACGCTCGCTATTACGCTACACAGTACTCTCCTCATGATTCACCGGCGAACGGATTAAACGCGCCTTTTGTCAGCAAATCGCTCTTGTAAGCGCCCGCCGCTAGCACCCTTTTCGGTTTCCCGCTTGCGGTGAATCGCTTGAGCCACTGGGCCACTGTGTCACGAACGATCGCGACGTCTTGAAACCCGGCCGCAGCGGCGTACCGAGCAGCGATTTCCGCCTGCTCGTCCACGTCTTCACCGCCGACGAACACGACAGATCTATCCTTTGCAACGCCTGAAGCCTCCAGGGCTTCGATAAAAGCATCTTTACCGACGATGACGTACGTGGGAGATAGCTTTGATCCCTCCGCGCGACGAACGGGAATATTCACGCATTTATCGACCGCTTCTGTTCGGAACAGGAATTGGTTCCGAACGTCGATAACCATGGACGATTCGCTCAACAAGCGTTCGACGGCCTCTTCGACGGAGATATCGGACGCCACTGGCGCGTCTTCACCATCTTGTGACGACGTGAGCAACCAATTCTTGTTCGTCACGTCGTATGCCGATGGATCTGCCCACTGCGTCTGCTGGGTTTCCGCATTATAAAAGTACAGGCGCTCGAATCGATCAAACGCCGCTTTCCACTCGCTGTTCGAATTTCGTTGCGCGAGACGCTGTTCAAACGCTCGAATCTTCGCAATCTGCGCCGCGCGCCGCTCTTCGGCGAGACTGCCGACCACTGGCAACTCTGCGCCTACGCAGCTCGTGCCCGACGCACTTGTTACGCTGTCTAGCGTCCATTCCTTCAGGCGCTTCTTTCCACCCGGCGTGTACTCCTTTACCCATCCGTCGTACCCGCCGTACACGACGGCGATGTTTCTATACCCGCGATCGATGAGGGCATCCATCGCTCCGCAACGCTCGGGATCATCCAGTCCGTCCGTCTCCGCTTGAGTCCCGCCGAGAAGAACGACTGACGCGTCCTTGTCTGGAAATTTCGTCGTGAACCGTTTGAGGAATTCCAGGGCGTTTGATTCGTACGAGTACGCCAAGGGCTTCCCATCGACGTTCACGAGAGGCATATTAACCGAGCCGACGATGTTCTCGCGACGAAACGTTCTAGTATCACGGCAATCAATCACAGCGCAATCACCCGCCTGGAACGCGCCAAAGGCTTCTTCGGCGCTCACCGTGGCCCACCTCTTTTTTGCCGGCGGCCCTGGGATAGATAGCGCTTCTTCCGTATCCGTCATGATCAGAGCCCGATTGGCCTCGTCCGTTTGTCGTCGTTCACGGGCTCGTTTCATGGACTCTTCTAAGAGGAGCCTTCGAGCCTCCAGAGCCTCTGGCGTCGCCTGCACCGTGCGCATCTCAGCCGCGCGCGCGCGTCTTTTCTCTTCCTGCTTCTTCATAGCTTTACGCCAGCTATCCTTTGCCTCCATCGCCTCTCGCTCTTCATCTGTCAGGTCCTCCGGGTTTTTCTGCCATCGTAAATACTCAGTCGAGAGTTTTGTGGCCATCATGAAATCTTGCTGCCTTGCCAACTCTTTCGCCGCGGTGAAAACGCTCTCCGGCGTGATGGACGCTCCTCGCACGACTTCGTTAGGGGTGTGATACCTCCATAGCGACGAATCGGCGCCGGAGTTTCCGAAAAGGTCCGTGTCTCCGCCCACGCTCATTTTACGCATGAGAAGACTGCATCTCTCTCGCGCGTCTACACACATCCAGTGATGGATGGCATCGTCGTATACCTTTGCTCTTGCGGCGCCAAAAAAATCAAGTGGCTGACCGGGAAACTCATCAACGAGTCTCGCCGTGGCTTCATACGTCCACTTTTCTTCATCTTTGAACAGAGCGTGGACGATGTCACAAATGTCGTCGCGCGTCGGACTCCAGTACCACTTGTCCATTCGACCGTCTCGCAGAAGCGGAGCGTAAACCGTGGAGAGATCGTTCGCGGTGACGATGATCGGCACGCGAGCCGTCACCATATTCCGTCCGTCATCTCCGCGGTCCTCGCCGACGGAAACTAGTTCTGGATGGTCGCACAGATTCATCAGAGTCCCACACACCGTCTGATTGTTCACCGTCTGTTGCGTGTCACGAAACCAGCCGATGCCCGCATCGATGTCGTTGATGATCAAGCAGCTCATCACGCCCGTTCGTCTCAGCAGCTCACCTGCACGCTTGTAGCGCTGTCGAATCAAACGACCGGGCTCACCCGCATTTTCATCCTCCAACTCCCCTGCGCTCGTGACGATTGGCGTCACCCCCATGGCTTTACAAGCCAGTTCAAGATTGAAAGATTTGCCGCACCCCTTTCCTCCCCACACGCCGAGAATCAACGGCGTGTTCGGCGGATGGACGATCGTACCTGCTTCGTTATACATTTGACGCACGTGATTCAGACCACCGCCGAACAGAAAATTCTTCACGAGATGTCCGCTCACTTTTTCCATGAAAGCGGGTGGAACGTGATAGTCGCCGACGTGGTTGGCAAACTTCCGCGCCTCTTGAAATCGATATCTCAATTCACCGCTCGCGATGTCCGAGTCCGCCCCGAGTTGAAACTCTCCCGTCGCGTTTCGCACGAACACATCGTCGATTTTGCCCTCCTTCGCGCCCACGTTGGTATTCGTGTTCCCGGCGTCATTCTTCCCGAGCTCCACCAGATAGTCCACCTGGGCGCGTTTCTGCGATGCCTCGCGCGCGTTCCACGACGAGCGAAACTTTTCTCTCGCCGACGTCGTCGTCTCCGAAGAATCGTCGCCCGACGTCGCCCGCTCCGACGTCGAAGCGACGGGCGCGCGTCGTCGAGGACGCTCGAGCGACTGACGTCCTCTTCTCAACGCACGCGACGACGACGCGCGCGACGACGACGACGCGCGCGACGACGACGACGCGCGCGACGACACGGCGCGCGATCGACTCATCGTCGAGTCTCACGCTCGCGCCGTGACGTCGCGACGCGGCGACGCGATGTGACGCACGCGCGGTGAGACGCCCCCTGCCGACGAGTCGAGGCGGAGCGCGATGACGAGGTACCGAAGTTTGGAATTTTTCTACAGTCTATGCGCCGTCGATCACGCCGTGAGTCGGTTAAACTCGAGCGCAAACGTGGGTTTGGTGACCACGATATCGTTCACGCTCTCGCGGAAGGCCTGGCCGAGCTTTCGAGAGACCGCGCCGACGTCGTCCCCGTCGCCCACTAAAGCACCGTATGCTTGAACGAGCTCCGATTGCGCGCGACGAAACAAGTCTTTCGGTCGCCAGTCACCTTGAGTAGAGCCGTAGCACGAGGAACAGTCAGCGTACATCGCTTCCATTCCTTGTTTCCATTCTCGATGGAACTTTCCGAGCGATTCGCGCACAGACGCTTCGTCCGCACCGTCGGCGGATTCAAGTCGCGTCTTGAGGGTGACGATGCTACCGAAACGGTCCACCAAAGCGTGATCCACGAAAGCCTTGGACTCATCCGCAAGTGCTGTCTCGAAGAACTGTAACGTTGCAAGCTCAGTGCATGCTGTCGACCTCGTTGGAAGCTCGACGTGCTCGTCGACATCTTCATTCAAGTTAAACATCCTTGTTCCGCGTGTCGTCACCCTGCAAGAGCTTCCTTACGGATTCGTACGCGAGAAACGAAAAGCCCGCCTGGGGCACGATTTTCAAGGAGCTCGGTACCCATCCGCGCCAGAGCGCGCCTGCACCGCCGTCGCGTAAAGACAATTTCAAGCACTGTACGATGGAATCGCTGGGCGCCATTCCCGTTTGCATGCGCAGCGTGACGCGATAGATGGGATAGCTCGCTGTCGACGCAATAAATCCGGACACCACACCGCACGCGAGCGTCGGAAGAGCCCCCGCGCTTTCCGTTTTCGTCGCTTTTTTGTACGCCGTCGATAAGATGTCATACGTTGCGAAGCTCAAGCCCGTATACGGAATCGTCCCGAGCATGGCGGACCGCCAACCAGAATACAACCCTTTTACACCGGTTTGTCGGACCACCGCGGCGGCACCGGCGAGAGAGTTCTTGTACATTTCCGTGCTGATCGCGAGTCTCGTCGATATCACCTCGAGCGGATAAAGCAACGTGTCAGAAGTCATCCCTGCGAGCGAGCCCGCAAGCAAGCGCTCGCCGTTGGTTGGCTCGCGCGGTTCGCCACGTGTCAGGACGTCCTTATACCACGAATACGCGAAGAAGTCAAACGCCTTGCCTGGAGCGCTCGAGAGCGAGTTCGTGAGGTTGCCCTTGAAAAATCCACGAGCGCCCTCCTCTCGCATAATCTTCTGAACCATCGAAACGAGACCGTCGGTGGCTTTGCCGCTTACTGTCGTGCGAACGGCCAACACGTTGAGCGGCGAACTTGCAGTTTTGGCGACAATCCCCGCGACTCCGCCCGCGATGAAGTGACCCCACGGTGAACCTTCTTTGCGCCTGTCCGGAATTGCCAATCTGCGCGGACCTATTTCAAGACCGACCTTCATAAAGTACGGATCAACAGTTTTGAACGCCGCGACCGGCATGAAGACGAGCAAGTCGCGAAAGTCATCGGCGGTGAGTTGAGCATCATCGCGCATCGAACGCAGTACCTCGTCGACGTTCTTGCTTCGAATCTTTTTGCGCGTGTTGTATCTCCCTGAACGCAGCTCTAACTTTCTCAGGCCATCCTTCAGCTGTTTGCCTGTCACGTAGCCGTTCTCGTTCGGCTCTAGAGAGTCGAATGCGTCGCGCAACACTACCTCCTTCGATCGAGCGTATGCTGCAAACTCTTCAAAGTTCATCGAACCACTTCCGTGAGAATCACCCTCTGCGATGAAGTCGTGCACGAATGACGGCGGCATTTTCAGCGACTTCGCATATTCGTCCACCTCTCTTTGGGAAATGTATCCAGTGTCCAAAGAATCGATTCGTTTGAACAATTGCTTCAAACGCGCTTGTCGTTCGATCCACTTGGACGATTTACCGCGCCGAAGAGCGCTCGCTATCAGGCGTTGCTTCAGCACCTCATAGTCGTTGGCGGCGACGCCTCTCAGGTCAAAGGTGCTCGCGACAAACGTACACTCCACCACGCCCTCCTTCGTGCTCGTCAAATGCGCGCTCCTGATTGAGAGCGACATGGAGTTGAACGCGTTTCCTAGGTCCGCCATCAAACCTACTCGGTCATACGTCATCAGCTTCACCCTCGTCATCCCGCTCTCGGCTTCGGACTCGACCACGCACGAAGTTTGCCCAATGTAATCAGCTAGAAGGTTCCCATCGTCGTCGTACACCACCCTCCGTCCCGAGCTCGGCGTCTCGTCGTCTTTCGACTGATTTTCCTCGCCCGAGACCGTCCCCGCGCACGTCTGCGCGATCGCGTTCGACCGCACCGTCCGTCTGAAAGCGCGCCGACGTGCACCATCTCGAGGCGTGCGCGCCGCCGCCGTTGACGCCGACGAGGACGACGCGCGCGACGCCGTCTCTCGACGCTCCGACGGCGTCATCATCGACCGGTCGCCCCTTCCAGAGCGATCGCGCGCGCGCTCGATCGCGAGGAGGACGACGCGACCAATGAATGAGGCGGTGGAGGACGAAACGCCCGAGACGCTCGAACCACTCGCCGAAACGTCATCAAAGCGTCGCAGAGCTCGACGCGCGTCGAGTCTCTCGGGGCGAGAAGACGAACGAGACGATGGCGGACGCGCGTGGGATGACATCGGCGACGTCGGCGGCGACGGCGACGTCGGCGGCGGCGACGTCGTCAGCAGCGGCGCGTGAGATTCTTCGCTACGCCAACCACGAGGTGATTATGGAATTGCTTCGGCAGGACGTCGACGAGGACGACGTCGAGAGCGTCGATCGACGCGCGAAGGAGATCGAGCTCAAGCTCGCGGACGTCGAGCGAAGGAGCATCGATGAACACGCAACCGAGTGCGAGAACTTGCTCGAACTCGGGCGCGAGGTGGAGGCGTGCGAAGCAATCTTGGGCGCAATGGAATCTACTCTAGGGACGTTTCAAGAGGATTTAGGAAAGATATCGATCGAAATTAGAGATTTACAAAGAGCGAGCGAAGATTTGCGTGTGAAGCACGCGAATAGAGCGCGAGCGGAGCGAGTGCTCGGAGAAATAATTGAGTCGCTCACAGTTGAGCCTGAATTAATCAACGCGTTGTTCAAAAGCGACGCGGGCGACGTAGAGTTCGTCCAAGGCGTGAGTAAGTTGGGCGGCAAATTAGACGCTTTGAAATCGATGCGGTCGAAGGAATCGATCACATCCGCGTCTCTTCCAGCCCTGAACGAGTTTGCCCCGGCGCTCGAAAAGCTGCGCATCAAGGCGGTGGACAGATCGTGGGCATTCTTGTACGGCGAATTCGCGGCGTTGAAGAAGCCGAGGACGAACGTCCAGTTGATGCAAGAGAATAGCCTGGCCAAGTACGCGCCGCTCATTGATTTTCTACGCAAAAATGGGCCCGAGGTTTACTGGGAAGTCAAATCAGTGTACGCGAACACGATGGGGACTATATTGAAGACGTCTGTGGCGTCGTACTTGGAATCGCTCAAGACAATAACCAAGTCTCCTAGGCTGAAAGTCGCGTTGGCGTCGAAGACGCGTGCATCCGCGTCTTCATCTCCGGTGGGTGACGCATCGTCGTCTGCGGCGAGTGTGTTTGCCGGTATGTTTTCAGGAATGTCGCTTTCACCGATGCGTTCCGACGTGAAGTGCGCACAAGAATCAGCCGAAAACAATTTGTTCGTCCTCGGTGATCGTGCGCGCACGATACTAGCTGCGGAATCGGAGCCGCCGTTCGTGGTCCATCGGCAATCCGACAAGGTGGCGCAGCAGGCACAGGAATTCGATGCGATTTTCCGCTCGGCGCACCGTCTTCTGATTGACACGGCGACGTTTGAGTTCGCCTTTTGCGACGTGTTTTGGAAGGGTGAGAGAGAAATGTTCGATACTGTTTTTGCGGGTCCACTCGTCGCTTATAATGACTTTGTGGCGCAGATCCTCTCGCGGTTCTCGCATGACGCTGTCGGGCTGTTGGTAGCGATTCGAGTGAACAACGCGCATCGGCGAGTCATGATGAACCGGCGCATGCCAGCGCTGGACGCGTACATCGACAACTTGAACATGACACTCTGGCCTAGATTTAAGCAAGCGTGTGACGTACACACAAAGTCCCTGGAGGATTTGCGTGAGTCATTTGAACCAAGCCCCGAAGCACCGAGCTTTATCGTCAAGCGGTACGCGAGTTTCGTGCTAGCCTTGACAACCATCGCGCACACAAAGCTGGGCGGTGACGAAGCCGACGTGACGAGTCAGGTTGATTCACTCCTCGATCACATGCGTCAAGTGTTTTTTGAGTGCGTGTCGAGTAAGCTGTGCGCGTCACTCAAGGCTACTCCGAGACTTCGCAGCGCGTATTTGGTCAAGTCATACGACTTTGTGTGCTCGACACTGAGTTCGCTCGCAAACTTGAATGAAGATGTCGACGAGCACGTCGAGCTTCCAACGAGGTCGACAGCATGCACTGAGCTTGCAACGTTACAGTTCTTCGAGACAGCGCTTGCGGATGAGTCCAAGGCTTTCGTGGATCACGCTTTGGTGGACCGTTTCGGTAGCATCGTCACCCTCAAGACGCGACTTGAATCCGCCGACGGTGCGGACGAAGCGTCTGTGCGCGAATCGCTCGGAAAGTTCCATCGAGAATGGAAACAAGGAATGGAAGCGATGTACGCTGACTGTTCCTCGTGCTACGGCTCTACTCAAGGTGACTGGCGACCGAAAGACTTGTTTCGTCGCGCGCAATCGGAGCTCGTTCAAGCATACGGTGCTTTAGTGGGCGACGGGGACGACGTCGGCGCGGTCTCTCGAAAGCTCGGCCAGGCCTTCCGCGAGAGCGTGAACGATATCGTGGTCACCAAACCCACGTTTGCGCTCGAGTTTAACCGACTCACGGCGTGATCGACGAGCCTAGCGCATAGACTATAAAAAACTCCAAACTCCGGTACCGACGTCATCCCGAGGTGCTCATGTCGCCACCCGCAAAAACCGCACGTCATTGACGTCCCCGATTCAATCGCGCGCTCCGTCATCACGTACTACCCATCGCGAATCGCCGCGTACTTCAACGCGTGGACGAGGGTATATTTGAAAACTGTTCGTGGAGAATATGAACGCGTCGGCGCGGCGATGAAATCGAATCGTGGACTTCCGACACTCGAATTGAATGGGTGGGCGAGGGGTATTGATGGAGACCAATATTCTTCTCGTGTTTGTCATGAGGCATCGACGGGGGCTGTTTTGGCTATCTCGCAAAGTGATGAATTACAAATATTGTCACGGTCGTTGGACTCTCGGTGTGACACGATGAGTGGCTCTGGAGACATTTCACTTTCAAACAAATCAGGAGACGTTTAGGGTATTTTGTGTTCTAGACCCTAATTCTAGGGGAATTGGGTTCGAAGTTTAGGGTTTAGGGTTTAGGGTTTAGGGTTTAGGGTTTAGGGTTTAGGGTTTAGGGTTTAGGGTTTAGGGTTTAGGGTTTAGGGTTTAGGGTTTAGGGTTTAGGGTTTA